ATAGGGGAAATGTAGGGTTGATTGGACTGGACTGTGTGTGGGGAGGGTAAATACGGTGGGACAAAGGGTTGTGGTATCGCAGAATAAGTTCTGGGCGGTATATTGAAGGCAGATGGCTGCTGGAAGTTGGAAGCAGCAGCAGTGGTTCGTAATGGTGTGTTGGTAGGGGTTGTGGTATGAAATGGGGCATTGTTTGGAAGGGTTGTTTGTGTAGTTTGCTGTGTAAGGCCAGATGAGCTAGCTGCAGAACTAGTGGGAATGGAAAGAGGGTCTTTTTGAATGACAAGTTTGTTAATGGCGGACATGAGAGCTTCGAATCTAGAATCTGCAATAGTTTTTTCATTGTCAAACCTAGTATGAACCAGACCCAGCTGCTGTTCTAGTTCAGCGGTGGCTCGATCAAATCTCTCATCCATTTGTTGTTGGGTTTGAGCCATTGCATTGTCTAAATGAATATGAGCTGTTTGAACAACCTCCTCAACAATATCTTTAGGGTTTTGGGGTTTTGTGGGAGCCATGAGAGCAAGGGATGAAAGCACCAATGATAGAACCTACTACTAGACTACCAAGATCAACATTGCATAAGAGATAAAAAACAAAATAACAAATTTTTTTCCTCTCCCATAAAATATCTCATACAAGATATTTATAGTTAGGGTTACATAAATTTAAATGGGCCTAGTAAAATGACCCACTGCAATACAAATTGAAGATTACTAAATGCACCACTAATTAAATGATAAAATCCTTAAGTAGACTAGATACCTTCTTCATTCTCTTGGGCCTAGCATGTTTCCTAACAGATCTCGTCCTTCAAAGCCTGGTTATGGCCATGCAAATCGTTCATAAAAACACGCACCTCTGCTATGGCGTCTTGGTCACTGTCGAAATTATTGTTGGTTGAAGTTGTTACTCGCTTGTTACCCATACTTGATATGGGGATTGAAGATGTGGATAACAACTTGACTTTTTCATACGAATGTGGTCTATATGATTTTACCATGGCCCCTGTGGTGGATGTCAATTGTACTGTTAGTGCCCAATGATACGTCAATTCCCATGTTTTATTATAGGGTGATTATTAGTTTGACCCAAGCCCAATAGAGGGTGAGTGTTGTAGCCATTGAACACGTGTTGTGATTAATAGGTGAATATAACCCTAACTTTGATCGATGTGTGATATTTAGCTACCCTCACTGAGCTTCTTATTGCTTCATATGGGCTATTTTTTTCAGGCTTGATAAATTTAATTTTATATAGGGTTTGTTCCATTCAGAAACTAGAAATGGATGCAATTGGTAAATTGAATGTCTTGAGTCGGTGGCGTTGATATCCGATATGGCGGTGCAGGGTGGACTTGCAAGGTTAAAACTCCAATGCCCAAATCAGTTTATGATTTGAGATGAGTATAGTGAAAATTATTGATTAGAAAATGTATCTTGTTTTCCGTCTGAACTGGATTTATACTTTAGTTCAAGTGGAATGTATAACACCCTAAAACCCCAACACATAATACGAATTTACACAAAAATACACTTAGGGTGTCACAAAAACACAACATAAACCTGCTTCATAACACGGGTTAAATATAACAAATAATAACATAAATACATTACATACTTACCTTCACATAAGCTCATCGCAACATGATTTATCACATAAAAAACTCAACAATTAGTTTTTCTCATAATAACTCTTCTTTTTAAACATAAAACTTGGTTATGGAAAGATTCCTTCAACCAATGCATAACAATAATAAACAATGCATAACATGACGAGTTATAATATCTAACTCTCGCAACAACATCATTAAAAAATAATAATAAACAATAAAACATAATGTTCGTCCATCCAGTGTTACAGATCATGTTAGATCAAATAATATATCAATCCAAGTCTCACATCAGGTAGTAGGAATATAATAGAATTTGAGTATTAATTTAAATATAAATAATTAGTTTTACTTTTCCACACAACAATAAAATATAGTTTTTTGAGTGTATTAGGAATTTGAGTAGTTGTGTGTTTAGAGGAGGTTTTCTATTTTTCTGTCCAAAAATAGTTTATTTAGAGGGTTTACTATTTTTTTTCATTCATAAATAGTTTGTTGAAAGGGTTTGCAATTTTTTCGTCAAAAAATTATAGTTGAGAGAGGGTTTGTAATTTTTTAGTTCAAAAATTATAGTTGAGAAAGAGTTTACAATTTTTCCATCCAAAAATTGTAGTTGAGAGAGAGTTTGCAACTTTTCCGTCCAAAAATTATAATTGAGCAATTTTTCCGTCAAAAAATTATAATTGAGAGTTTACAATTTTTCAGTTCAAAAATTGTAATTGGGAGAGTTTGCAATTTCTTCCATAAAATTGCAATTTAATGATAGAGTTTGTAATTTTGTTTTTGTAAGAATTAAAAGTTTATTTATGATTATGTGAGTTTTATTTTTAATTTTTTTCTTCTTTTGTGGATGTGCTTCTGTGTGCACCGATATTTGTTTATTTATTATTTTCTCAATAACTGGTATCAGAGTCTGGTCCCGATCAAAGAAGGAAGGAAAAGTAACAATTATTCTGATCAGGGAGAAATAAGACAAAAATATTGAAGAGTAATAATTTTTCAAATATACCTAATCATTATAATTATAATGATCATTTTAAAGATGAAGTTGAAAAAAGTGAAGAATAACCACAACGTCATCCTTCAGCTTCTAAGCAACTACTCATTTACTTGATTGTGTGTACCCCAAGGAGCACAGAACCACGTAAACAACAAAGGGGGTGAGAATACGCTCAAAATATATAATGGTGCAAAATAATGCAAGAGTAGTCTAAAACAACATCTACACCCACATATTTCATTCAAATCATCTCAACACAAATTATTCACATTAATTACAACAACTCAACAACTCATTCACAAACACCTTCATGTAAATTAAAATATAGGCAACAACTCAACTCAATGCATGTGGTACCAATCAACGAAGGTTCTTCATATGAACCGAGTTCACTCTTCTAGACCCAGTACCCACCCTTCTAGGTTCGGGATAAGTCACTTGTCCATCCTTCTAGACTTACAACTTGACTCTTTCAACAACAGCGCCATAATGATGCATGTCATACAACTCAATGCAACAAAAACACAATAATAACCTCCTCACACTACGCCAAAATTGATATTTTGTATCACATAATTTAATAGCTCTTTTAAAGAAAGTGCTATTAAAAAGGAAACAAACATATCTATAATAGCACTTTTAAACAAAGTGCTATTAAAAAGGAAACAAACATATCTATAATAGCACTTTATGATCGGGCGCTATTATAGGGTGTAGACAATGTGATTTTGATAGCACTTTATTAAAAAATGCTATTATTAAACTTCAATAACATAGTGCTTTCTTTAAAACGCTATTAATATTCTTTATTAAGATCTCTTATTATAATATATTATTAGGAATAGAAGAGGATAATGGAGGCGAGAAATAGAGAGGGATAAGGGGAAGCACGTAATAATGGAGGGATATCATCACTTCCTTTCTCCACATTATTCATAAAAGAAATAAAAAACAGGGGAGAAAATGAAAGAGGGATACACGATGATTCATCTTTTTTGACTTTCTAGGAGAAATTTTTTGAATGAAAACCTCATCCCCACATGCTTCTTCTTCATTCATCACTAAAACCCATTGTTTTCACCATTTAATCGACCACCCTCAGAAAACTCCGCTTGAGTCTCCTCTTCACCACCAAATCATCTCCTGCTAAACCCTCACTATTGTGATAACCTCTTTCATAACCTCCCCGTTTGAATGCATTCTGCCACGACTGGGTTTTTACCACCACTCTATTTTAACACCAATTTAACAATAACATACCATCGTCACCTTTTATTCCTCACTTGAAACCACTTGAAACCGACGAATCCACGCCAACCGATTCAAGCGAACCATGCCACAAACCCTCTAATCTTCATCGTGACCCATCTTCAACCTTCAGATTTCAGCAAGTCATTGACCGCAACTTCGCCGTCATTCGTCATATCTAATTGTAGAATGCTTGTGTGTTCGTTTCTCATAGATGAACGCAACCATAAATCCAACTCAGATTCGTTGTAGTCCGATTTCGTTCCCGACGACCTGGTAATGCGGCCTACGACATTACATCAACAATGCAACAATAGATCAGATTCTGTGGTGACAACATTGACACAAGCGCCAACAACATCATTAGTCACTACGAATCTGACATCATTCGCGAATTCAATCACAACAACTGCAGAAACTCACATGTCGGTAATCCTCGATCTCAAACTCTTTTGGTGTTGTAATTTTTTGGGTTAACTCTGTCATTCTGATTTCTTCTTGTGTCATAGTTCAATCATGTATATGTTATACATAATTAGTTGTAGAAACTCACATGTCAGGTAATCCTTGATCCTAAATCGTTTTTGAAAACATCCTCTGCACGATGAGGTTTCCCGAGTGAAGGATTCTACATTTGGATATTTGTAGTTCTGCGTCAACGCCACTTTAATGAGAAGAACATTGTGCATCTTTAACTTCAAATCTTTGTCTCTCTTTAAAGCTTCAGAATCACTCTTTTGAAGGAAAGCACGGGTATTTCTTAAGCATACTAGAATTGATATTTTTTGCTCTTATAATTGATATGTATGTTAGATGTTCGATTAAATGCCTCAGAGAAACAAATAGTTAATTATTATGAATGATTATGATATTGTTTCGATGTTGTAGCTTGAGAAAGAGATTTTATGGTTTCTAGCAGGGGAGTGGTGTGTAGCTTGTTTGTGTTCACCCATTTGAATAGTTTTTAGAAGAGCGGACTCCACCGAATCGAGCGGTTCCATAAATTGTGAATCATTTGTTTGAGTAGATTACGAAGTTGACATCATCTTTGAAACTGTCTGGCATAGTAGCACATGGTAAGCTGAAACTCCTGTTTGAATAATGGATATTTAAGATCTTTGTTGAAATTTTTGGTTGATGATGGCCTGCTCGAAACCTGTGAGTTCAGTGGGAGATAATATGTCAGTGGCTGCTGCACCCATGAAGCCTAGGATTTTACTTGCTACTAGTGGGAGTGTTGCTGCTATTAAATTTGCAAATCTTTGTCAATGTTTCTGTGAATGGGATGAAGTAAGAGCAGTTGCCACAAATCCATCCTTGTATTTTATTGACAGAACAGTGATTCTCAAGGATGTGATTTTGTATACGGACAACGATGAATATTCTAGTTAGAAGAAACCAGGAGATAGTGTGCTTCACATTGAGCTTCACAATTGGGCTGATATCATGGTCATTGCTCCATTATCGGCAAACACTCTTAGCAAGGTAATTGAACATGTTCAACAATTAAGAATGACTTCAAGTCGAGGCTATTAAAATGGCTAATTAGATTTAGTGACTTGTCGTTAACCTTTTTGTTTGTCTTCTTGTTTGATAATCTCATGTATATTTAGTTGCAGAATGTATGTATAAAAGTGGCTTCCTTGAGTACGGATCATTTTCATAAAGTGTTGATTGAAACTTTACATTGATTCTGGGTTCTAACGATACCCACATTAATGCCGTAGGCGGTGATGCTCTCTTTGGTAATGCTTAAGTATCTCTGGTGTTGTATTCTATTAGGAGATCTTCATATATCATGCCTTTCTCTTAGTTCAGGACAACATTCCAACAGTAGCACTGGCTTAGGAGTCTTTTTGGGTTACACGGACTCACTAATCAGAGATGATTCCCAACTTTATGATTTTGCATTTGCTGAACATCAATTTTGTCACTCTCAACAAATGAGTTTGTTTCTTGTGAGGACTTGGAAGGTGTATGATCTTTTAATACAACATGCTTGCTAAGCTCAAATCATTACTTGAAATCTAATATTCTCATATGTGGTAGCAGGTTGGATCATATATCTTTAATATCACTTCTACAGGGACTATAATAGCACTTCTACAAAAAGCGCTATTAAATACAAGGACTATAATAACACTTCTTCAAAAATCGCTATTAAATCCTTTCATAAACAAGGTGTATGGTAGCGCGGAACAGGGCAATGATAGCATTTATAATGAAACGCTATTAAAAACACTCATTTTAATAGCGTTTTCAAAGCGCTATTATATGTATCAAATTTATAATAGCGAGGGCTTTTATGGCGCTTTTAAGCACTAATGTGGAAAAAAAAAGCGCTATTAAAAATAATTTTTGGCGTAGTGTCATCTGAAGTATTATCCAACAATCACAACAACAACAATAAAAAATTCAATTATTATCCAACATTGATAATAATCCAACACAACATAACAACCATAGTTATGCATACAAAACATAATCTTTAATTAATTACATAATAACATCAAATAACATAATCGATTTAATTCTAACAACTGAATATTTTTTAAATCAATTATTAACACTCAACAATATAGTTTAACCATTCATTTAATTAATTAAAGCCATCAGAATATGTCCAACAACAGTTAACATGAACTGCACGACAAAACAACACAAAAAACTCAACTCATCAGCTAGCATCACAAACGCTAACATTGTATCTTAAGTAAAACAATATATTCACATCCTTAATTTTACATTCAGCCTTTTAAGACATCACCATGAGATAGTGTCGTACCTCGAAAAATACGATCCTCGCGATGGACGCGGAAAAAACGTTCGAGCAGAGTCGCCACCGAACTTTATTCATTCCAAGGAAGGAATAGGAAAATATCGATAAAACCTTTAAAGAGATAAGAACATGGTCATTGCAGTCAAGTTCTAGATTCGGGAGTCGATTACGCAAAGGGAAGGTATTAGCATCCTCTACGTCTGTTGTACTCAATGGGAACCTCTTGATTCGATTCGAGAGAAAAGTTAGTTAGGTTGTTTGTTTTCTTCTAAGAATTCGCTTATAAGGGGAAAATGGGTAGTTTTATTAGGGTGCTCGTCAAGGATTAGGGCCCTTATGCCTACGTACTCCCTCTTGCAATGGGAAAGTCAGATCATCGTAGTTCGTAGTACTACCGTAGAAGGTTTAAGGTAACAAGAAAAAGGTAGCTCGCTAGGATCTCGCAATTCTATGCCTATGTACCCTCATTGTGCAATGAGGAAGTCAGAGCAATTGTAGTTCGGACGATTACGGTTGGTTGGTTCGTGTTTGAAGCGAACGAGTGTTTAGGTTGCATTCTAACTGCTAAACGTTGACTTGTTTGTTCACTAGGGGAGGCTGAAGCACTAGTTCATATGCGCGGAAGAAGGGACTAAACAATGTTCTTTGCGAAAGGTTGCTTGATTTATAGATCGCACGAGGGCGAGGAATTAGTGTTTTGAGAAGTTTCAATCGCACGGGGCCGAGAAAAGAGAGTTTGATGTGTTGATGTTTTAGTTTGGAAAAGAGAATTGATTTGAATAGGTTTTAGGTTTCGATCGCACCGGAACGAGAAAACGAGGTTAGATTGGTTAAGTTTTTTGCTGGAGAATGACGATTATTCGATAAACGAGACGTCAGCCTCACAACCAATTAATCGGGCATTATTGGAATGTTAGATCCCAACAACACCTTTTTCACTCAATTAATTATAAAATTGTATTTGTAGGACTGTAAACGAATTTGTCCAAGTAATTAGGGGATGTATTTTAGGAACGAAAGGTCGAGGAATCCATAACCTAAGGCGTGAGCCCCAAGAGCAGTCACTCAAGAATCCAAGGAGTGCAAGACTCCAATAACTCATTTCTTTCGTAATTTAATTATGAAAAGACTTGAATATGATTAGGCTATTTTGATTAGACGCGTTTAGGTATTTTAGAAATGCAAGATCAAAAGGATCACAACCCAAGGCGTGCGCCTCAAGAGCAATCTTTCGGGAACCCAATAAGTGTTAGACCTCAAGAGTTCGATATTTCCGTTATTAATTAAGAGAATATTTTTACTTAGTTATATTCGAGGAATGATTTAATTAGGTTATATGTTTAGGCATTTGATAATCTTAGCGTGAATTAACTGCCTTTGAAAATGAAAGACGAAACAATCACAACTCAAAGCGTACGCTCTAAGAGCGACCGTTTAGAACCCAAGAAGCACTAGACCTCAAGAATTCGAAATTTCCGTTATTAATTAGGAAAATAGTTTTAGAAGTAATTATCAAAACGAATTATGATTTTAATTAGGGAAAGATAACTCATTTTTTAAAGGTTAAGAAAATTAACTGATTTAAGTGGAGGTCAATTGATTTTTAGAAGCGAAAGACGAAACAATCACAACTCAAGGTATGCGTCTTAAAAGTAATTATTTAAGAGTCCAAGAAGTACTAGACTTCAAAAGCTCGCTACCTTCGTAATTTAATAGTTTTGTGTAAACTTAATCGAAAAAGAATTTAAGTTGACAACTTAATTAATTATACAATATTTATTCATCACTAAGACTTCGTAAATGGAAATAAAATAAAATAAAACTCAACCATTGAAAACTTCTTTTAAAGCCAAAATAACTAGACCTCACAATTATAATCAAGTGAAATATCATGATCTCCATATTCACATTATCTTAAATAGCATGATGGAAAATTCCTCTTTGATTTATTTTCTGCACAGCAGCTACATAATGATTTGGTTAAAATATTAAAGTTCATTATTTCCACTATAACTACACGTAAGATTTTGGGACCATTTCCAAGGCATCATTCTCATTATAAATGGTATAAACTTTATCGAATCTAAGGCTAAAAAAAAATCAGCAAGTTAATACAAGATTTAATTAATGAACACATTACACATTTTTCAGTCAAGAAATCAAAGTAGTCAAAAGGTAAGTGAGTTTTATATAATTTAATTCACAATTTCATCACAAACTACAAAGTGAATAGTAAAAAAAATTATTAAAAAAACCAAGAGAAAGGAACTAATGTGCATGAATACTGGAAACATTCTCAACAGATTTCAGAAAGTCAACTGTTATAACTTTCATCCTGCAAACAAACATACACAACAAAACTCTGCAACTGGTTCCCGAGAATTTTGCTCACAATAAAAAGCATGCAAAGTTTTATGGAAATATCATTGTATCGATTATGGATTATGTGAAAAAGTTGTGTTGGACATTTATTTCGTATTTAGTATTGAATGTTAAACATAATCGACTTGATTGAATGTTTTCCCAATTACGTGTAATAATTTTTATAAGAACTACTATTAATGATGAATAGAAATAGGCCAAGGATTGCTTGAAGTCTAATTTTAAATGTTTTGATTAGATGTGCACAAATTTGTTTAATAATTTATTTTTAGATGCATTTTTTTTGTTTTTCATACATTTGAAAGTAAAGTGTGAAATCAAATCACTAATATGTGGTTTGAATATTTGCTGACATAATTCTCATAAGAACACAATGTGTTTTATTTTTGTACATGTTTAGTTCATTTTTGTAGATATCTTATTACTCACTAGTTATTGGATGAATATTATGACCAATTCCTACCATTAAATTGACAGCCCACATTTGAAAAATTTATACAAATTTTGAGTCAGAATCTCATGATTCGACTTTGTTTATTTGATCATGTAATTTTTTTTTAAGTTGAAAATTTTGTGTTCTGACATTTTTTTTTAATGCTTGAATGGTTGTTTAATTGCATTGTTCATAGAAAAGAAATAGAAAGAAGGGAGTTGTGTTTAGTTGCAATGCATTGTTCATATTTTTTTTCCATTTTGTATTAGCTATATTATTTTAATATATTAATAAATTAATTTATAATTTAACACAAATAAAATAATCATCTTGATCATTAAAAATATTAAATAGTCAATTTAATTGATTATAAAAAAATAGTCAATTTAAATCTTAATTTATTATATCTTTTATGTATCTATAAATATAGATTTTTTTTTAATTTCTATATAACTTAATTATACAATTTTGTTTTACAATATTAATAAAATTTTAATATTGTTTATTTTATCGTTTATTATTTATTTAGTTTTTAATTATTCATAATTATAAAGAGTATCATTATAGAACTACTCACATTTCTTTCATTTTGTATTAACTACATTTTTGAAAATGTGTGAAATTAATAAATAAATTTATAATTTAAAAAAAACTATAAAAACATTTAAATATTAAGAAATTTTATTTTTCAACAAAAAAGTTATTAAAACTTAATGGAGAAAATATATATTACAAACTTACAAATTACATACAAAATAATATTTTTTTTCCAATATATATATATATATATATATATAT